ATTAAACAATAAATAATTAAAATTAAAATATAATCATAAAGTTAAAGTATAAAAAATATTTAATTTTTTTAAATATAAAAAATAATAATTATTTTAAAATAAAATGACTATGGAATAAAAAAAAATTCTTAACTTATTTTAAAAATAATTTATTATATAAAAATATATTATAATTATAATATCACATAATATTATAATTATTTAATTTTAAAAAATATTTTATAGGCTGTCCTCTTAAAATATTTTTAAAGAATCTATTTAAAAATTTATTTTCTAATTAATATTTTTAAAAGCCATCTATTTAATTAAAAGTTATGGATCATACATGTCAATTTTTAAATTGTTTTAATAAGTCTAACTACTTTGTTGATTATAAAAAATTTAACACTATTAAATATATGCAAGTAAATATAGTTTTTTTAATAAAAAAATTATAAGTATTATATCAATATAAAAATTAATATACACAATATATATAAATATAATTTTCAATCTAGCAATCAGTTTTTTAAAATATTAATTAAAAATAAGTTTTTAGATAAATTTTTTAAATTTTTTGAGAGAATGCTCTAACCTATATTATTTTTGAAATTTTATATTATTAATATTTGTTAGAAAATAAAAATTTATTTTTTTATTAACAAATGAAAATGAAGCAGCATTTTGTTAGTGTAAATCATCTTTATTTGCTAGAAATTTATTAACAAATAAATTTACACTAACAAAATGCAGCATTTATGTAAATCATCTTTATGTAAATCAGAAATTTTAACAAAATGCAGCATTTATGTAAACTTATTTATGTAAATCATCAATATAGCATTTATGATTTACATAAAGATGATTTACACTAACAAATCAGCTTTATTTTATATGATTTACACTAACAAAATGCAGCATTTATAAATTTCTAGCAAAAATTTTCTATTTATATTTGCTACAAAAAATTTAATATGTAATCTCTTTATTAATTATAAAAAATTTAATATCGTTAAATATATATTAATAAATAAAATTTTTTTATTAAAGAGTTATAAGTATTACAATAGCATGAACATTAACAAAATTTTTAATTTAATAATTAGTTTTTAAAAAT